CGGCTATCCACCAACTAACTTAAATACTTACAACAAATAAACGGCTCTGAAGAAGGCGAAACCGCCGAAACGTCAGCAATTGTGTTCTAATAAATTCTATATTAACAACCTCGTGTCTGCTTATTGATGAAAAACATTGAATTATCAATTAATGCCGAGGTTAACAGAAAGTCGGTCTTGGGAATAACTTAAATACTTACAATAAATAAACAGTAGGTGTTTAAATGAAGCTGTTTCTTATGCAAATACAATTTTATTAGTTAAGTTTTATCTGCTGGGGTTATGAAAGTGTTCGGCTGGGTAGATCGCATCTCAATTTGACCTTTCCAGGTTCTGAAGAAGGCGAAACCGCCGAAACGTCAGCTATTGTATCCTAATAAATTCTGCAATAACAAGCCCTTGCCTGCTTATTGAAGGAAAACATCGAATTATCAATCAATACCGAGGTTAGAAGAAAGTCGATCATGAGAGTTCAAGTCGTCAACTATGATGTCTTAAATCAACGATCTCTATGATATTAGCTGCGAGAAATGCAATGCAAAGGTCTGGGTTAGCGTGGTGCACATAGCTGTAACCCAGAAAGGATAATCGCGCGTTCAAAGCTAGGCTAGGGTTCCAGGTTTTGCTCATGTCTCAACATCCTTATTGTTATATTTCATAGAACATACTGTCATGAAAAAAAGGATGGGGCAGAAAACAAAAGCTGAAACATTATGACATCTTACTTTTTTAAAAACATGTATAAAATACTGTTGTAACGAGCAAGGATGAAGTATCAACATAGATGTAGAGGCTTTAAATGGTAGTGGCTGTGGTAACGCTTTTTTTTAGTGTCAAGATGGATGTATGACTTGCGTGGTGACGAAAATTGAATCGTGAGAAGCTTGGCAGAGCAGTTGAAAGCTAAACGAATAAAAATGAAGTTCTGCGGCAACTTCTGTTGTCCACTTTTAAAAATGATATATTATCCATAGAAAACGAAATGACATATTCATGTTGCGCGGAATATGGAGAATTTAAAACGTCGCCTTGAAAAGAACCGCCGAAAGATAGCGCTAAATAAGATTTTGCAGTGGACTTAAAATTAAAACCAATTCTGAACGTAAGTAAACAATTAAATGTAAACAAACCCAATTTAAGAGATCGGATAGCTCAGTAACAGTGATGTTCATCATCACAAGCATGAAATTGGTACTGGACTTGTCCGGGAAAAAAATCACTCTCTGCAATCCAATTGGGAATGCTCCAGCCTAGCTATTTCAGGACTCCAGGGCGGATTTGCTCGACCAGCATTCTACGACATTCAAGATGAAACGAAAATCCTCAAGCAGCAACCAAAGTCACATGTAAAAGTTGGAAGATCTTCGT